TTTACAATTTTTTGAATTCCGGAATTTCTTGAATGTTAGGAATATCAGAATTCCCAAAATTACCGAAATTCGAATTTCTCAGGAACTAAGAATCCCAGATCTTAGTATTTCACATACTTGCGACGGTCCGGACAGTTCAAGATTTCATAGTTCCAGAACTTCTAGATTTTTGAACTTTATCGGAATTTCTGAATTTGTAGGTACTCCTGGGTCCTGGGTCCTGGGTCCTGGGTCCTGGGTCCTGGGTCCTGGGTCCTGGGTCCTGGGTCCTGGGTCCTGGGTCCTGGGTCCTGGGTCCTGGGTCCTGGGTCCTGGGTCCTGGGTCCTGGGTCCTGGGTCCTCAACTCAGTTGCCAGAAAAGGGAGACAACTCAGTTGCCAGAAATTTCGTCATATTTTTATTATGTTTATAAAAGCATGAGGCACCAAATTCGTACCCAATCTGCCGGATCCATCTCGAAAATTTGACAAGTTTAGTGTCAAATTTCTCGGCCTCTTCTTCTCCAGGCTTCTGGAGAAGAAGAAGGAGAGAAGAGTTTCGAAATTTCTGGAGAAGAAAACGAAGAAGAAGAAGACATACATATAAACATCGTGTGACTTTTCTCGGTGTGATTCACTCTTTCTTTCTTTTTCTGTTCTCTTGTTCCTTTGACAAAAAATTTCTTTTTCTTTTTTTGATTCTTCTCACATTTCGTGGCACACTTTTTGTCAGTTGTTTCTTGAAGGTTCTCAGTTAGAAGAAACATTTTTTAAAAGTTTGTCAGGAAACAAACTATGGGTGAGTTATTGATATTTTCTAGATTCCAAAATTCAGAAATACTAAGAATCCGAAATTCTGAGATTCCAGGATTTTGAGATTTCGAAATTCTAGGATTTTTAGATTCTTAGATTCTAAGAATTTCAGATTCTTAGGCCTCTTAGGATTCTTAGATTCTGAGATTCTGAAATTCTGAGATTTCGGCATTCTTAGAATCTGAGGTTATGAGATTTCGAAAGTTTGAGATTCCTAGATTGTGAAATTCTGAAAATTCTAAAATTCTAGGATTCTAAAAAATCTGAGATTCTGAAAATCTGGAATTCTAAGATTCCGAAAATCTGAAATTCTGAAGTTCGGGTTTTCAGAAATTCTGGAACCTCTGAGATTCCAAGATTCCCAGAATTCAATTGTTTAAATTTTAGAAAAAAAATCTGAAATTCTAAACATCTCAGAATCCCAGATTCTTAATTTCTAGGATTACCGTACCCTGTCTACAGTATCCCATACTCTCTACAGTATCCCTTTTTCAGGTTCCTACGCAGTTTTTATCACAGTCGGAGCCATCGGTTTGGTCTCAATTATCATCATAGTGGCAATTGTTCTTTTTATCAAGGTTTGTTTTTTTTCCAATGCGCCTTTAAAGCTCCCATTTTTAAAAATACTTGAGGATTACTGTAGTTTTCGCGGCGAGACCCAAATTTGAATAACCTAAGCTTGTTTATACTCATTTTGAAGGGAAAAACGCGCCAAATTCAAATTTGGCACTGAAATTTTGAAATTTCAGAAAAACAAAGCAGTGGGACCCGAAAAATCATTGAGTCCTAAAAAGGGTGGAAAATCGGATAAAGTGGTGAAAATGGAGGATGGAATGGTGGAAATCGAGCTGGATTCGCAGCCAGGAACCCAGCACGCCACGCCTTCTAGACGATAGAGAATTCTAGAATTTTCTAGAAAAAAATAATTCAAAAATTTTATTATTGGTATAATAATTGTGCTCAATTTGCTCTTGTTTTCTTGTCTATTTATTGTATTTTTTTGAAAAATTTGAATATTCAAGGAAATTCAAATTTCCCGCCCAACTCTTCGAAACGGTTCAAAACTTACTTGATGATT